GAAACGGCAAATTTCACAAAGCGTCAAGCGTCACACTACGACCCCCCCCGTTGGTGTAGGATTGACGCTGCCTCCGACCTTGCGAAGTACGACCCCCCTCGTTGGACTTTGTCCAACGGACGGTTGACCCTACTCTCTGGTACGATAGGAGATGGAACAGATGGGCATACCTAATCCCCGACCATGCCTTTCAATGTTATGAGGGTTTTTTATGAAGCAACCACAACACCGTAGCGTGAATACTGAGAGAGTCGCTTGCAATCAAGCAATAAGTTGTCAGGGGCGAAAAACTGAATTTGAAGATTCCTTAGCGGGATGTAACAAACCAGCGTACCTTCCAACCATCCAGGCGACAGGCTGCAGTTCAGAAGGCAATCGACGAATGTCGTATTCTGCAAAGCGAATAATCTCAATTATGTCACGATATACTGACCGAAAGGCAGGGAACTTCACTTACTTGGGTCGATGACTTCCCCACATGTCTGACACATCCGTGGGCAATGCTCCATAACAAGACCCGATTCGTCACAACTCGACCTATTGGAAGCGATCTGGAAATCAGCAATTTTGAACTTGGAACACTCAAGTTTCTGATGCACTATATCTACAATCCATTGCTCGTGTACAGGACAGCCTACACATTCAAACGAGCGATTTCTGCAAGCTGTCTAGGAATGGGCCAAGATCGAAGTGGCCAAACTCAATGAGATTTTTATATATCATGGGTTTCGAACGCAGATCTCAATTTTATTTTTCATATCTGTCAATCGTTTCCGCGAAGAACGTACATATCCCCTTCACATTCACGTGCAGGAGTTCATATTAACAGTGCCAGCACGTGAACGAAGCAACTCGATTCGCAGATCTGTTATGGTGGCTAGACCACTGTTCCCAGGAACGTCAGGATTCGTGATCTGCTACGGCACTCTTTTGCTTCTTCTGTGAATGGCCATTTGACAGTAGCTTATCACAATTTTTTTGTCCTTGCTCAACAGTAGTTTTCCTTTCCAAAGAATGTGATGACTTGCTTGGTGAATTTTTTCAATTGCATGGCCATAGACAAGGTTCGGGCGTGTCAGTGCGTCCACAACGCATTCGCAGGCGCTTTTAAAGCGAGAGATTACGATAAAGTTGTGTGCAGCGTGGAAGTACATGCACCAGTGGAAGCAGTAGTCAGGGGCCAAGGAAACGAAATGTGGCGTTTTTGTGGCCAAAGGTGCGCTAGCTGCAGCGTACTGGGCTTGCCATTCCTTTCTGAGCTCCGCCACGGCCTGTGCTCCGCCCCCAGCCAGCGCCCTTCGATTATCATTTTGATGAGGTATTCCGCTTTGAGTGCGTATCCTATAACTTTCCCATGGAACGCGTTACCAATCAAAGCATGATCTTGCTGGTATGATGGTGGCTATCGGTTTAACATGTGCAAACGACCTCTTAGTTGGTTGCTAGCTCGTCCATTATCGGAGGTCAACGGGCAAAGAAAGGGGTCCCATTTTGCGCGTTCTTGACGGATTTCTTTGCTTTTTTCGCCACTGGGGCATTATTCAGCATCTCCACTTCCACTATGAACCCAACCCAATCCTATCGTAATCCCTCGCTTTAAACGCCTGCAAATTGCAAACAGTATTCATGCTCAGTGGATTCAAATACCTCCGGGGACAAAGCTTTAAACAATTCTGAGATTTCGACGTAACATGAAAAAGTGCTTAGATTTCGACGTAACATGAAAAAGTGGAGCAATCTTTGGTGTTGTGTCCACAGCCACAAATTTTAGGTTTGACCCGTCATGGACATTTTGGAAATAGTGCCATGTATTATATATAGGAAAGAAAAACATCGTTGATCTGATTAGCGCATGTGAGTGAGCTAAATCGCATCCAAATGTCAGCATTTTTCTGAACGACATCCGAATGCAGGACGCATCCCAAACGAATTGCTGAACGCCGAATGCTGTATCCTTCATCCTTGGAAGTTACTCCACTGTTCCAATGTGAAAATGAAAGAATATCGGCTATCAACAGGGGCCTTTTCTAGGCCTCTCGTTTAGTGTACACTTCTGACAGAAACACTCACCCAAGTCGCACAGTTCATGTCCGTGTCACGGCATTTGTTCAACTTAACGGCTATCACAACCGGAACGAAAACGATGAAAAAATAGCGAAAGGATGGCATCCCTGAAAAAAAGTCAAAGCCCTTCTTGAATGCGAAGGAACACCCTAATAATAATCGGTATAGAGTAATTTCCGAGGAGTTATTGAGAAGACATGCACGAAATGAGAAAATCAGAGAAAAGGTCAGGTAAGCCCTACAGCAATCAATTTCGTTTTCCACAAGGAGTGATGTAACGCTTGTCAGCTTGTCGAGCCGTTTTTGGCCGAAAACTCGTCATGAACTCGAATCGGATCGCTCGCGAATTGAGTTGCGTCATTGCTTTTCGGGAACTCGCATGCCCGCCGGCTACCGGACTGTGCCACGCCGACGTTTGTTTCCATTTCTGATCTTCTTCATACTAGCGGGGAACGACTAAATAGACTTGTGCAAAAAACATGTATGTGTTGGTAAATAAGTTCGTAGCGTTGCGCTGGATCAACCAATGTTCTTTGCCCCAGTGCCTCGTCTATGCTAATCGAAGGTAGCGTTCCTGCTCTGCAGTATCGCAATTATCATTTAAAATCAATTCATCCACAGATATGGGAGAAACGTAAATAATAATGACGTAAATACTACATCCCTGATGCATTTTTTGATTTTCTGTCTCGTTTCTAATCAAAAGTCAGTGTTGGATAAAAACACAGCAAACCAGTCGAACTTAATTACCACCTTAGTTGTCGTCGATTTCAATAAATTATCATTCACCTTATAGTTAGAGGCAAGCCCAGATATAAATTAGCAGTGTAAGAGCGTTCAATAATAAAGTTGGGGGTGAAAGAAATCTGAAAAAGCAAAAGAAACTGTGATTGCGCCAACAGAGCCCACCAGGGTGGACAACGGTCGAGGAAATCCCCGACTGGGAGTCGTATTTGCTTCGAAGGACCTCGACGCGAGTTCCATCCCCGGAGCTTATAGGATGAGGAGGTAGCGGGTGCAGTTTCTTTTCAACATAGCTGCATCAATCGTAACCTTTCGATCATGCACTTATCTTGAAGTGGTATTAGCCGTCGTTGCAAGCAAGGCTCATGTAGCTGCGGTCGTTGGAGGGGTTGCGATGTTCCAAGTCCGTAACGGTTGGTGCTCCAACCGTGCGTTTTGTGCGACTTAGGTGACACTACCTTTTTAGATACGGAACTGACACGGTCGCTCGCGACATGGTTCCCTCCTCGCCTCGGGTTAGTGTTTTAACATTTTGAATTGTATTGTTGGGTTGTCCCATAATTCCTGTCCGATTTTTGATCAAATTCAAATTTCTTCAAGTCAAATTAGTGTCATTGCGAAATATGTTTGTATGTCAAAGAGTGCATCTAGACCGTTAGCCAGGACATTTTGGAGAGGTCAAACCCGCATCGGAATAACTGAGTAAGTCGAAATAGAT